TGCTTTGAAAGAGACGATAGAGGGGAGATGGCAGTGGGGCATGAGGGAGGGCGGACGGGCTGGATTGCTTCGTGGATGTGCCGCCATTTCCGACCCTCAGGCTGCGGCGCCCCCCGTCGCGTGCGCCTCCGCCCGTGGGCCTTCGGGCCACCGCGACATGGGGGCGGGTGGGAGCTCCGCGCCGAACTCACCCCGACAGCCAGGCTCGCACGCGAGCCGCCGCCTGCTCCCCCCGGGCGTGCTGCGCCCACGCCTACGCCACGAGGCCCACTCGCTGGCACTTCGCCGCCCTCTCCCGCGAGTCCAGCCTCCCCTCAGCGCCCAGCGGCTGCCGCCTGCATCCCTCCCATGCGCTACAGCATGTGGCTCGCAGCTCGCGCAGCTTTGTGCACTCGCCGAGCAGATGCCCGAGGCCAGCGCCATTTCTGGGCACCACACTCCTGCTGGCACGTGCGCGGTCTCTCTGGCGGCCGGCCACGCCCGAAAGTACCTCCACACGCTCGCCCCCTACGGCGCCAAGCAGAGCCCAAAATCGGCGGCCTCAACGGCAACCACTCCCGACCAAGGATGAAGCCCTCCTCGTTGAGCGCGCCCAGCAGGAGCAAGGTCCAGGCCTGCTCCGGCGCGTGCACGGCTAGGACCAAAACCTGTCGCTTCCGCTGTGACATCGCCCGTTTCCGCGCCCGCGGGCACGCCCGCTGGGCCGCGCCGAGCGCAGCAAGCGGGACATCGACGCGCACCTGGAGATGCCCTGTGATGTATACCGCGTGCTCAAGCCATGTGCTGCCTGAGACCGCCCGGGAGCCGGCCACTGCTCATGAGGCGACTGCGACTGGATCAGATGCAGGCCGCGCCAGCAGACGAGAGCGGGCCAGCGCCATCTGCTGCAGTAGCCTGGCGCCCCAGCACGTGAGCATCCGCGTCTCCACAGGCGCCCGTGTGTGCCCTCTGGAGCCGAGGAAGACCTGCGCCCCCAAGCCCGGTCTGGCCGCCTCGCACTGCACGGTATAAGGTCGTGCAGACGCTGCCCGCCAGCCTGGCCAAACGCTCGCCAGGAGCTCAGCGCCGGGCAAATGAGTAGCATTCTTTTCACCTTGACCTCTCCTGCCGATGCCTCCTCACTCGACTGGCGCAACCTCCGGCACCACACCGGCTGCACTCTTCCTAGGAAGAGGGGAAGAGCTAGAGGCCCGAGAGTCGAAGAGGCCTTGTAGCGCACGAACAAGAACAAAAGACTCCTAAGGAGGGTGGGAGGAATGATCCGCTTCCGTGGAGGGAAGGGTGGAAGAGGTGAGGACAGGATGGAGGAGGAAGGGGCACTGTAACTGGGGAAGGGGGAGGGAGGATGGGGGAGATTTCGGTCGCCGTGTTAAATCATACATGTGCCAGCGTAGACCCCAAGTAGTACTCTATTGCACTGTGGATGTGCAAGCTGTGTGGTGCAAGCTGCGCGGTGTAAGCAATGTGAAAGAATCTCTGTGGGGCAGGCAATGTGGTGTAAGCTATGTGGTGCAAGCTATGGGGAAAACGCTACCTGGTGTAAGCTGGGTCGTGCAGGCGTAAGCTAGGCAGTGGACGCTGTGACGCGTAAGCTATGTGGTGTAAGCTCTGCGGTGCAAGCAATGTGTAAGCCCTGTGGGGTAAGATATGCGGTGTGAGCTATGTGGTAACAGCTGTGGTGAAAGCCGTGCGGCCGCCTGGCGCACGAGGCTCCCACCAGGCGCCCACGGACCAGCACCAAGCGAAAGCTCGGCTGACCCACCCAGCGCACGAGACGCCCACGAAGCATCCACGTGCGGGCACCGGGCGAAACCTTGGCTGCCCTACCCAGCGCACGAGGCGCCCACGAGGCGCCCACGAAGCGTCCACATGCGGGCACCAGGCGAAACCTCGGCTGTTTATCCAGTGCCCCAGATGCAAGCACACAACACCAAATAACGACCACGAAGGAGCACCAAGCTTGCGAACGCCCGGTGTACCTGAAAGGGCGCACCGACCAGCCTGTATTCAACGAGCACCCGCGTGGAAGAGCGTCCCAAGCTGAACGCCGAGGTGTGGAGGTCCACCGGGGCCACGGGGAGGGAGGAGAGGCCCAGGGGGCAGGCTGCAACGGGCCCTGCAGGGCCACGCGGAGCTCTGGCGGATCCTCCTCCTCCTCCTCCTCCTCCTCCTCCTCCTCCTTCTACTCCTCCTCCTCCTCCTCCTCCTCCTCCTTCTACTCCTCCTCCTCCTCCTCTTCCTCCTCCTCCTCCTCCACCTCCTCCTCCCGGCCGGGACTTGCCAGCACTAAGCCAGCGCCGTGTCGCCCGCGGGGTTCCCCGGCCTGCCGGCTCCGTATCTTCCAGGCTCGCCGACGGCCAGGGCGCCCGCCCCCAGCGCCCTTCGCTGGCCGCGGGCCGGAGCGTGCCGCAGGTCGCATTCTCGGATCGCTGGGCTCTGGGGGCGGGCGGGCCTGCCCGCCCTGGCTGTGCGTTTGCTGACCGTGGCAGAGGCGGTCGAGCGCGCGGCGCGGGCGCGCGGAGAGGCGGAGGGTCGGCAGCGCTGACTGTGGCCCGCCTGGCTGAAGCTCGCCGCGCGCCCTCCTGAGCGCCGTGCGGCGAGCGGCCTGCTGCGTGCGCGACCGCGCGGGGGCAGCTGCAGGTCAGGGCGTGCAGACTCGACCGCGGGCGATGCAGTGTTGGGGTGCTGGTAGAAGTGCCCCTGGCTCAAGGTGCCCCAGAACACCGTCTCCAGAGCACCCTCACGAGGCCCAGAGGGCCACAGGGGCTCCAACATTGGGCCGAAAGCTGGGGGCACCTTGGGCCAGGGGCGCCTTCAGCAACCCCCGAGATGTTCGGCGCGTGGGCCCGGGGACAGAAGCCAGCAGCGAGGCCAACGGGCAAGGGTACGCGCAGGGCGGGCTCTCTCACTCCTGCATGGCCGAGCAGGTCCCCCTCCTGGCTCTGCTCCTGTTCCTGCTCCAGCTCCTGCTCGTGCTGCTTCGAAGCTGGCGCGAACCCCCTCCGCCGCTGCCTCTGCCGACCCGCGAGCAGGCGACCAACACAACGGCTGATCAATGCAAAAGGCGGTGACCGCCTGTTCTTTAAACGCAAAGTGTCAGGGAGTGAACGGGCGACGCGCCCAAGGGGGGAAAGTGCGAGGGGACAGGCTTTCTCAAAGGCGGCAAGGCTTCTCAGAAGCCCTCGTGCCTTCTTAGAAGCCTCCTGTTTCTTCGGGGAGCTCCTCTGCGGCCACCTCTCTCTCACGCCGCTGCCCCAGTGCAAACTAACTGCTCGGCCTCCTCACCTAGCTTTTGCGAGCTGTGCGGGCCAGGTCAGCGACAGTAGAAGTGGCCTTGGAGAAGGCTTACGAAGCTTCTCAGAAGGCTGGAGGCCTTCTGAGCCTTCTGAGAAGGCCCTCCCCCGCTGCCTTCCCCCTGGGCTCGGCGCCGAGTGGAGCACAACATCTTCAGGGCCGTCCTTCAAGAGTGCCCAGCAGCGCTCTGGGGGGTAGCAAGTGTTCTGCGGGACTGCCCCCCCCACTTCCCCCTCCTCCGATTCTGTTCGTGCTCCACATTGACTGCCTGGCTGGCAGTGCGACTGTTCACCCATGCCCTGCAGAGGGCCGAGCAGCCGACAGCCCTGCTCACGTGGTCACGACAGCGAGCATGCATCGCCTCCCCCGACCCGCGAGGGCCCTGGTTGGGGTCCGGCGAAAGGGGGGGATAGCAAAAGGGGGGTTTGAGAATCAGCTCACGTAGCTGATTTTCCCGGCGCCTCCCGCCGCGGGAGGCGGCTATGTATCGAGGAATGGGCCCCTTGGTGGGGCCGAAACCAGCTGCATGCAGCAAATTTCGTAACCCCCCCTTTCCCAATCTCCCCCTCCCGTCCAGCCCGACTGGTCGGGCCGCATTCGGAGCCCTGGGCTCCCTCCAGCGGCCCGCGTATGGGCCCCTGGCGGCTTTGAGAGGGCCCAGGACGGCCCGTGGAGGGCGCAGGAGGGCCAAAGTTGGCCCTGGGATGGCCCCGGAAGCCCCGAGAAGTCCCAAGAGCATGGGGCTCCGAGCGGGCTCCGCGAAAGGCCCGCGAAAGGCCCGCGAAAGGCAAACATAGACAGCATCCTGTACGTACTCGGTTTCAGATGGCTTCGACATGGGCTCCATGTGCCTCCGAAAAGGCCCGCGACCCCCCCAAGAAGACCTCATGCGGCCCAGGGGTATCCACGATTATGACCCCCAGCTGGCCTCCAAGACGGCCTATAAGGACTGCTCGAATTCGGTCCACGATCGCCCCAAGATGGCCCCAGTATCTCCCCAGATGGCCCCAACACCTACCAAGACGACCTCCAGATCTCGAAGGGACGCCAAGATGGCCCCAAGAGTTCATCAGAGGGCCCCGAGAAGGCCCCTTGCGGGCCCTGAGACGGTCCAACAAATTTTTAGACACTTGAACGTACAAGCCATGCCTCATAACGATCACTGTTTGAGGGATTTGCGCGCCGCCGCCGCTTTCCCAAGTGCGGTGGCGGAAATGCGCGGCAGCGCGGGTGGCTGGTGGGTTTGTCGTGCTTAACCGCAGCGTGTAGCTTGCAACTTACTTAGCGCCGGCAAAAAAGGTGTAGGTCACCTCGGCAAACTGATAACGGGGCTGGGGCGGGCATGAGAGCGGGTCGACGCAAGCGGTTAGTCTGGTAAATAATCGTCAGCAAAGTCATGCCCCAAATCCCGCCAACCTGCTGCGGGTTCTCCCCAAACCTGGCAATTTCTCAAGCCGCAAGCCCTCCTCTAACCGCTGCATGCTAAGAATATCCGCCATGACTTTTCAATCAGCATTCCGTTACGACTGCCTTCACTGCAATCGCTAACTTCCGAAGAAGGCGGCAGAGTTCAGTATTGCTCAATTTCTTGACGAATCATGGCGACCGAAGGCCCCTCAGAACGCCTCTCCCAAGCTTCACAAGTAAGTGAAGACAGCGAAGGGATAACCGAGCCCGATGCCGCGGGCGGTTGCTGAGCCCTCCGCTCCAGACGCCCGCGTGCTTCTGGAACTCCTCGCGGTTCTTGATGCCTGCGTCGGCTGGCTGAAAACCGAGATAAGACTACGCAGCCCAGAGAGGCGCCTGGGGCCAGTGGGAGAGGAAAGACTCTCTTGCCTTCTTCCTCAGCCCTTGACTCCCCCCCTAGAGCGCTCTGCCACCCCTGGGAGGAGAGGGGGGCAGGAGCAGAGGAAGAACACCAGGAACCGCCTGCTGGTCCATGCCCCGACCGATCTCTCCTCAACTGATCATGCACCCGTGGATCTTGGTTGGTCGAATCCGATTGCTGGCACCCTTATGAACAACAAGAGGCACGCATATCAAGTAGCCGTCCACAGCTTATGAACAACAAGAGGCACGCATATCAAGTAGCAGTCACCCAGGGGTATTGGGTAACCTGGCATGGCGAAGGCGCCAATCTCTGCTAGCACGAGGTCTAGCATTGATTGTGCGTTTTTGGTTGATCAATAGTCGCCGAGATGGCTCGAAGAGGATACCTGACGCCCCAGTGAGGGCGCCAACCCACTTTCAGGACGCCTCCAGAAACACTTCCAGGACACTCTCCACGGAAAACGCCAGGGGAGAGCGCCTGACGGCCGGTCGGAGTAACCCTCCAGGGTGACGGTGCCGGGACACTCCCACGGCGCCCTCCGGGTTACCCTTTGGGCCATCTCCAGGGCGCCCTCTGGGGAAAGCGCGGGGAAGCAGGGGGGTACGCCGGGCGGTCGGTCGGACGGTCGGAAGAACCCTTCAGGGGGCGGCGCCATGACAGTTCCAGGGTGCTCTCCAGAATGCCTCCGAGGCAGGATGTCTCCAGGACATTTCCAGGACACGGAGCGCCAAGCGGTCGGTCGGACGGTCGGACTGAGCTTCGAGGGGGGGGGGCGCCGGGACATTTCCAAGGTGCATGGAATGCCCTGGAGGGGGGGGGGGGCAGCAGGTCGGGTCGGGCGGTCGGAATGAGCCTCCAGGGGTGGGGGTGCGGGCACGCTTCCAGGGCACTCTCCGGGACGCCCTCCAGACACTGGGGAAGGGGGGCGCCGGGCGGTCGGTCGGACGGTCGGAAGAACTGTCCAGGGGGCGGCGTCGGGGGGGACGCTTCTCGGGCGCCCTCTCGTGACACCCGCCAGGACATCTCCGGGACACCCTCCAGGACGCCTCCATGACAGTGCCGAGACACCCTCGGTGCGTGGGGATCGCCGCCGTTGGCTCTGAGGCTCTTGCGCCGGGGGGAGGACGACGACTGGACGACGACGAAAGGGGGGAGAGGGAGGAGGACGAGGAGGAGGCTGGGAGGACGAGAGGGACGACGACAACACACACCTCAAGAACTGAGCTCGGTGTCTGAACGGAAAGGAGAAGGATGAGGCGGACAGTTGATCCTAGCAACCACTGGAGGACAAAGCCTCTGGATACCTCCTGGCAGGGTCTTGATAGGATCTGGCCTTTCGCAGGGCCATGTCTGAGGGGAGACGGTAAGGGGGTCTGGCTCAGGGCGGGAGTCATTGGCGTGGAATCGGCGATGCCGATCGATCGGCGATAGGCCCTCGATATCGAAACTGCACGTTCCTGCGCGGGATGGGGCACCCAAGCTCCGATTGGCTGGCGATGCATTTTTGGGCCGATCTTTCCCCCCACTGAGCCAGTCCCCCCGTGTCGGAGCCACTGAAGATTGGGGCGACAAAGTTCTGCGGATTGATCCAGCACGCTGGGAAACAGAGGACGTATGGCGAGAAAGAAAACTCCAGCTGTCACATCCAGGCCCGTTTGAGGCCTAAAACCGATGCCACCCAAGCCAAGGTGGTCAGCGATTGTTTTCAGCTGTTCCGCCTCATGGTCCTCTCCCCCCTTGGTTTCGCACTCCTCCTTTTGCTGCTGCTGCTGCTGCTGCTGCTGCTGCTACCCCTGAGATTCCCCAGGGTTCCGTTGAGGCATAATTGCTCGTTGGAGTTGCAGGTCAACAAGGCGCCCCCGATGCTCTTCGGCTTGCTCACCGTGCCCGTCATGTGGGCGGCTAGCATGTCCTCCCCCGGACACGTAAGGCAGAGACAGCATACAGTATGTGACGGACGAGGAACCCATAGGCAAGCGCGTTCCACTACTCGCATATTCACTACTCGCAAATGGCCTGGATCAGCAGCGGAGGATTCACGATCCATTACATCGAGGCGAACGTTTTGTTTTGTCTTCTGGACGTTTGCGCGTAGGCACTTTGCGAGTAGTAGAACGCGTTCGGACGACAATTACAACCTGGTGGTCACTTGCCCAAGAAATCGTTGGTATAAGCCCGCATGTGCGGGTGCGCTACTCAGAATCAAGTTTGTAACCCGTGCCGACGCACCCCGCTTGTACCTGTCAACTTGTGCTCTAGAGCAGTGGAGGAAGAAAACATGTGCTGGCGCGCTTGTGGAACCACTCGCGTGCGCGCGTCTCGGGTGCATGCGCCTGCGAGTGCGGAAGTGCTCGCGTGCATGCACGCGTGCAGAATTGGAACGGCTTAGGCGCCAACCAATATGGTGGCACCACGCGTGACTCACGTGACGAGTGCAGAGTGAACGGGAACTGGGGGACCATTGCCCGAGCTGCTCGGGGTGGGCAGTGCGCTGTTCCCAGCCGGTTAACTCCAATCGTTGAATGTCTCTGGGTGGGCCAACTGGCGGCAAACCCTGGCACCTTTGATACAGACGACAGACGGGGCCAACGATCTGAATGGATGTGGCCTGGATCCGCCGGCGTGCCCTTGAGGCACGAGTTGGAATGTCCTCAAGTCCCTTATTGGATCCCCTGGGGCCCCAGTCGTCAATCCTGAAGATTTTTCCCAACCATCCTGTGGTGTTGGGTCCTCGTTTTGAAGAGACGGTGCCCCGCGTTCCTCTCCTCCTTCCTCCTCCCCCTCCTCCCTCCTCCCCCTCCTCTTCTCTCTTCCGTCAGAATGATCATCTGCAGCATCATCCTCATCCACATCCTCATCCTCATCATCGTCTTCATCATCGTCCCCACCGCCCATGTCGTCACACCCCTCACACGTTTCGTGGCCCCATAGGGAGCTCCACCGAAGGTCCCACTGGGGGCGTTCGCATGCGTCTCCCCCACCCAGGACAGCGTTTCGTGGCCCCATAGGGAGCTCCACTGAAGGTCCCAATAGGGGTGTTCGCATGCGTCTCCCCCACGCAGGACAGCGTTTCGTGGCCCCATACATAGGGAGCTCCACCGAAGGTCCCAGTAGGGGTGTTCGCATGCGTCTCCCCCACCCAGGACAGCGTTTCGTGGCCCCATAGGGAGCTCCACCGAAGGTCCCACTGGGGGTGTTCGCATGCGTCTCCCCCACCCAGGACAGCGTTTCGTGGCCCCATAGGGAGCTCCACCGAAGGCCCAAGTGGGGGTGTTCGCATGCGTCTCCCCCACCCAGGACACTGTTTCGTGGCCCCGTAGGGAGCTCCACCGAAGGTCCCAATAGGGGTGTTCGCATGCGTCTCCCCCACGCAGGACAGCGTTTCGTGGCCCCATAGGGAGCTCCACCGAAGGTCCCAGTAGGGGTGTTCGCATGCGTCTCCCCCACCCAGGACAGCGTTTCGTGGCCCCATCGGGAGCTCCACCGAAGGTCCCAATAAGGGTGTTCGCATGCGTCTCCCCCACCCAGGACAGCGTTTCGTGGCCCCATAGGGAGCTCCACCGAAGGCCCAAGTGGGGGTGTTCGCATGCGTCTCCCCCACCCAGGACAGCGTTTCGTGGCCCCATAGGGAGCTCCACCTAAGGTCCCAGTAGGGGTGTTCGCATGCGTCTCCCCCACCCAGGACAACGTTTCGTGGCCCCATGGGGAGCTCCACCGAAGGTCCCACTGGGGGTGTTCGCATGCGTCTCCCCCACCCAGGACAGCGCTTCGTGGCCCCATGGGGAGCTCCACCGAAGGTCCCAATAGGGGTGTTCGCATGCGTCTCCCCCACCCAGGACAGCGTTTCGTGGCACCATAGGGAGCTCCACCGAAGGCTCCAGTGGGGGTGTTCGCATGCGTCTCCCCCACCCAGGACAGCGTTTCGTGGCCCCATGGGGGGCTCCACCTAGGACACAGGTTTGCCTGTCCCCCACCCAGCATCACCTAGGAAAGCGTTGCGAGGAGGAGGGGGAGGAGGAGGAGGAGGAGGAGGAGGAGGAGGAGGAGGAGGAGGAGGAGGAGGAGGAGGAGGAGGAGGAGGAGGAGGAGGAGGAGGAGGAGGAGGGAGGAGGTCCCAGGAAATCGCATGGCGGCCAAGTGGCGGAACCTCGTCTTTGTCTTCGGCGTATGGAGGACGATCAGGACCCGGAGGACGGCATATGCAATTGTGAGTAACGCGTTGTGGGTGCCGCTTTCGGTGGGCCCCGAAACGCGTGAGGGGCGTGCCGTAATGGGTTGAGGGAACGCAAGCGGGCGGTCCCACTGGGGCCTTCGGTGGAGCTCTCTGTGGCGCCGCGAAACGCTGTACTGGGTGGGGGGGGGGGGACGCATGCGGGCGGTGCCACTAGGGCCTTCGGTGGAGCCCCCTGTGGGGCCACGAAACGCTGTACTGAGTGGGGGGGACGCATGCGGGCGGTCTCACCGGGGGGCTTGATGATGACGATGATGATGATGATGATGACGATGATGATGACGACGACGACGACGACGACGACGAAGATGACGATGCCGACGATGCCGAGAGGAGGAGGAGGATGAGGGAGAAGGGGAGAGGAGGGAGGAGGGAGCAGGGAGGAGGAGGCAGGAGGAGGAGGAGGAGGAGGCTCGCGTGCTGCCAGCTCGGCTGGAGTCCTCGGCTGACGGCGCAGAAAACTGGCCAGCTTGGACCCGGGAGGGGTCCGAGGATCGATTTCCAGCGGGTGCTGGCCCAGGGTGGCGCGAAGGGGGTGGCCTTCCAAGAAGCCAAGGGGGGGTTCTTGGAGGGGCTCGGAAGAACGAGGGAGTGACGACGATGATGATGATGATGATGATGATGGTGATGATGATGATGATGATGATGATGATGATGATGATGATGATGATGATGACGATGACGATGGCGATGGCGATGACGACGCTGTGCTTCGAGCTCCAGGCGTCCAACCGCTTCAAAGACCCGAAACTTCGTGATCTCATGGCGTTCTTGCGCAAGCCGGGGAAGCAGGTCCCGCCGGCCATCCGTGCCACGTGGAACGCCATGCAGTTGAAACCCGATGATCGCCGGCTCCGGGAGGAAAGGTTCCAGAACGGCCACATGATTGGGTCTTACTGGGACACTGTGGCGCGGTGGATGAACATGCGTTCCCAGCGGGACGCGGACGTCCTGAAGAAGCCCCTCTTCCTCGTGCAGGCCGCCGACAGGTCTGCCCCGACGATGAATGTCAAGGACGCCGCCAAGATGATGAACTGTGCCAACCCGAAGAACACCGGTGGCATGCACGGACTGCTCTCGGTGCATGTCGGCATGCGGATCCGGCTCCTGGAGGCGCTCGACCTCAAGAACGGCCTCGTCAAGGACGCCGAGGGCCAGATCGTGCACATCGTCGTGGACCCTCGAGATCGGGACGCAGTCGACAATGCCGAGAGAGACGGGGAGAAGAGGGTCTATCTGAAGCACTTGCCGCTGGGGTTCTGGGTGCGCATGGAGAAGTACGCGAGCGCGCCCTTCGTGGACGACCTGAGGCGCCACGACGACAGCCTCACGGGGGACCTCACGGGCCCGCTGGTGTTCATCGAGCCCCGTACGTCGGAGCCGTTCACCTTCCGCACCTCCAAGGTCACCCGGACGGGCTTCCCGTTTTCGCACGGCAGGGTCATCACCACGGTGGCGTGCCAGGGGCGCACCATGCGGGAAGGCGACGGGGCGGGGGAACGGCGCCGCCGGGCAGTCTACGGCCGAACCTTTCGGGCCGAGCGGTCCGCAGCCAGACCTTCTCTCGGTCTCGTGGACTCTCGCCCTGGGCCTTCGGCTTTCCGGCGCGCTGCTCCCTCGGCCGACATCGCCCAGGCGTGATCCTGGACTGCGGCCGCCACGAGGTGGGGAACGGCAAGAAGGAGGACGGCGACTGGTGGCTGGAGCTCTACGTCCTGCTCTCGCGCGCCACGCGCCACGAGGACCTCCTGCTCATGCGGGCGCCGCGCATCGAGTTCTTCCTGGCAGGGCCGCCGGAGGGCTTGCGGAAGCAGCTGGAGCAGTTTGCTGCGCGCACGAGGCGGTGCAGAAGGGAGGCGACGGCCCTCGCCAGGGAGCTGGGCTTCACCGAGTTTATCCGCGAGGCTTGACCTGAGGAACGGCCCGCCCGAGCCTCGCCGTCTCTCGACGGTCTGACTGTTTGGCTTCGCGCCGCGGGCAACCTGCGCGCGTCGCTGGGACCCTCTCGGGGCGACCAGCGCGCGTCCCGGGAATTTCGCGCTGCGCTCTGACCAGAGCCTCGCTCGCCCCCGTCGTCTCTCTGCCCAGCGGCCACAGGCTTGCCCGCTATCAGCCAGCCTGCTCGCTCTCCCCGCTGCGCACAGCGGACGACCTGCGCGCGTCGCCGGGACCCCTTCGGGGCGACCAGCGCGCGTCGCGGGGATTCCGTGCGGCGCCGCGCCAGCAGCCATGGACATCGGCGCGCACAGGCAAAGATGCAGAGAAGAAAGGGAAGGAAGCGGGCGCGATCCTCGGGAGGAGCGTCCACATTTATGTACGTAGACTGATTCGCACGCAGACTCATTCACAATCAGACTCACTCGCGCTCAGGCTCACCCGTTCTTAGCCTCTCGCACTCAGACCGACCGTCTTTGTTCGTATTGTGTACCCCGTGACGAATTTCGGCACGCCCCTCACACGGTTCGTGGCCCCATAGGGAGCGCGAGTGAAGATGGTATTCACAATTGCGGTATTCACAACTGCACATGGTTGGGTCCTTCGTCAGGCTAATTTGGAAGGGCCCCGGCCCCAAATTGCCAAATCTCTCGGAGGTGCGCCGCGTGGCCCCTGGGGCTCCCAGCGTCGTCATGGGGCCAAGACGTCCAAGATGGCCCCGAGTCGCCGCACGATCGGTTCAAGATGCCCAAGACGCCCCCCCCAAGACGGCCCCAAGGCGCTTTCGAGGCAGCCCAAGAGCCTTCCAAAGAGGGCCCCGAGAGGCCAAACTCATTGATTGTCCTAGAACGTTTTTTGGCTGTGTTGGGTTCTGCACTTTTCGAGGTTCCGACGCCCCAAGACGGCCCAAGAGGCAGCCACAACCGCCACAAGACGGCCCCAGAGGCCCCAAAGAGAAGATGCCTCCACTGCCAAGATGGTCCAAGAGAGCCCAAGATGGCCCCAGAAGCGCCCAGGAGGCCCCAAAGATGGCCCCAAATGCCTCCGAGAGGTCCTCCAGGAACGTCGGAATAAACCCAAATCATTAAGTTTCCGATGGTTCCCCAATTCGGCTTGCCTAAGGGGTTCTTACTTGGTTAAAGGCTTGTGCCTCGGGGGCTTACGTTGCCCGTTCCCTGCAAGTTCCTTCTGGTTCCCCAGGTTCCTCGGGTTCCCAACCCCCAATGCCTCGTATTCTTACTGTGCCCGTTCCCCCGAAGTTCCTCGGGTTCTCCGGGTTCCTAAGTTTCCCCACCCCCCAATGCCTCGTATTCTTACTGTGCCCGTTCCCCGGAAGTTCCTCAGGTTCTCCGGGTTCCTCGGGATCCCCGCCCCCGGTGCCTCGTATTCTTACTGTGCCCGTTCCCCGAAGTTCCTCGGGTTCTCCCGGATCCTCGGGTTTCCCGCCCTGATTGTTGGTCTTGTTTCCAAGCAGTGCCAGGCAACACTAAGCAACGTTCAGCAGCGCCAAGCAACGACAAGCAGATCGAAGCAGCGCAACGCAACGCCAAGCACTGCCAAGCAACGCAAGCACCGCCAAGCAATGTCAAGTAACGCCAAGCAATGCCAAGCAAAACCAAATAATGCCAAGCAATGCCAAGCCACGCCCCACGCCATGCAAAGCCGTGCGCCAAGCAATGCCAAGCAACGCCAAGCAGCGCCAAGCAAACCCAAGCAGTGCCGAGCCAAGCCAAGCAATGCCAAGCCAAGCTGAGTAATGCCACGCAACGCCAAACAATGCCAAGCGATGCCAAGCGTTGCAAAGCAATGCCAAGCAACGCCAAGCAATGCCAAGCAATGCAAAGCAATGCAAAGAACTGCCAAGCAATGCCAAGCATTGTCAAACAATGCCGAGCACCACCAGGCAATGCAAACCAATGCAGTACAATGCAACGCAGAGCAATGCAATGCTAAACAATTCTAAGCAACATCGCGAAGGAAATGTTCCCCTAATTGGGGTCCCGCTGGGTTTAGGTTTGCCGGATTTCTGCATTTACTTCCGGCCTTCCGACGGCCCAAGACGGCCAACGAGGCCCCCAAGATTGCCAAATAGGCCTCCAAGATGGCCTCAGGACGGCCCAAGAGGCTCCCAAGATGGCCCCCAAAGGCGTCAAGACGGCCCAAGAGGCCTCCACGACGCCCAAGATGGCCTCCAAGACGACCCTGGAGCGCCCCAAGAGGGCCCCAAGACGGCCAAGCGAGGCTCCCAAGACAGCTTCCGACGGGCCAGGAAACCCGTAAGACGGCCAAAGAGGCCCCCAAGAAGCCCCCCAGAGGCCCCCAAGAGGGCCAAGTCCTGACCTCCAGCCATGGCTTGGCGCAACAATCTGGGCGGCTGGGGCTACAGCCCCATCGAGTCTTGCACTTCTATCATGCAGCCTCTGGCCCTGCAGGTGCTTCGCCCGTGGGCTCACATCGCGTGCGCCCTGCAATGTCAACGGGTTCCAATCCCGTGAACCCTGCGACCGTCAGTATCGGCAAGAGAGTGGTGCGTTTGTGCGGATGCGTACAGGCGAAGCACATACGCTGGATGATGACATCGGGCATCGACAGGTGCATGCGCACAACGTGGTTGTACGCCCCTCTAGGATCTGCTGGGTAGCACCCTGTTGAGGGGACCGAAGTCCATGATGTTGTCTATGCCTCTGCCACGCTTGCGGCGGCCCTCTCTCCTGTGGAGGCTTACACCAACTCACGCATGGAAAGTCCCCTCTCCATCGGGTCGGCGAGCCCTGATCGTTCGGTGACGGCCCCTCCACGACGTTGCCCACCACCAAGTTTGAAGGATTTTTCCATGGCCTGCTTCAGATGCCAGGCCTGCTGGGGGCCTCCAGCTAAACCAAGTAAGACTTTGCCTTTGATAATATTGTAAGTCTTCCGTCGGCGATGCGCCAATAGCTCGGCGTTGCGTTCAACCTTTCTGTCATTTACGTCCTATCCTGACACGTCTAAGTATTCAACGAAGACAATCTCCTGACTGGCATACGGCTGACGAATCGCGTCGGCGATCACACCGATCAGAGCCAGGACGAAGTCGCAAGACAGATGCGTGCCGAGGCCAATCGTCTATCCCTGTGGCGCTGGTCGTAAACAATAGTTTGCTCTGGGATCTCTCACAAGGGTCTGACAACCGAGTGCAGCCAGCAGCCCTGCAGTAAAGGATCGCTGTGCCCTGCCAAGCACTCGTAAGCTGGATCATCCATAGCAGGGATCGGCGACACCGCGCGTTCTGGGGCGCCTCACGCTTTCTACGGGAGGACGGGCCTTGTTCCGATGTTCGGTTGTGGTCTGCCTGTTGTGCGCAGACCCCCTCTGGTTTCATTAGCGCTGACAGTGCGCTGTGCTGGTGCGGTTCCGCCTCGCTTCTGGCTCGGCGTGCTGTGGCTTTGGGCAACACGCAGCACGCGGGCTGATGCGCCTGCTTTCGTGGAAAGGATGCAAGCGTGTGGGTACGCGCGCGCGCGTGTGTGTGTGTGTGTGTGTGTGCGTGTGTGCGTGAATGTGCGTGTGTGTGTGTGTGTGTGTGTGAATGCTGCGTGAAGGTGCGTGTGTGTGTGTGTGTGGGTGTTTGTGTGTTTGTGTTTGTGTTTGCGTTTGCGTTTGTGTTTGTGTTCGTATCCGAATGAGTAAGTGGATGAGTGTGTGTGTGTGAATGTGTGAACGTGTGTGTGTGTGCGTCTGCCGTTCGCCCGCCTGCCCGCTCTTGGATGTTTTCCTTGCGCTCGCTCTCCTGACGCAACCAACAATTCGGGAAGCTGTGGGGAATTCGACTAGTTTGCAGCCCATTCCAGCTCTCGCTGAGGTGACGTCACTCATCCGCTGGAGGAGAAGTGCAGGCGCGAGAGTGTGTGTGTGTGTGTGTATGCGTGCTTGTATTCATCTGTGCCGAATGTCCTCTTCGTCGCGCGTAGCTAGCCCAGACGCCACGATGCTGCACCTTAGGCAATTTGGCCCAAAGAGCCCCTGTGGGGGGAAACGCGTAGCCCATGCTTCTTCTCGCTCGAGGCTCCGTCCCCCAAACAGTTGTCTCTCCCTCGCCCTCAGTCTTCTCTGCCGGCCCCGTCCCCCCCAACTCCTGGAACAGCTGCCGCGTCCAGTCCGTGCTGGCCGCGAAGAGAAGCCCTGCGGCCGGCGGGCTCGGGCACACGGCGCAAAACGCCCAACGGGACTCCCCGGGGTCGGCGGGGGGGGTCGGCCGGCCGCTGTGCTGTGGGGTGGGCGGGAGCTCGGACGGGCGGCCATGGGAAGGCCCCTCGGGGGACTGCGGGGAGCAGGATAGTTCCTCCTCCTCCTTCTCCTCCTCCTCCTCCTCCTCCTTCTCCTCCTCCTCCATTCCTTTTCCTGATCAATAACTTCCCCCTGTCGCACCCCGAGGCCAGTTTTTAGGGCGGGCCGGGCGTTTCGCCTGAGACTTCTTCACCACTCTTGACCCTGAAGCCTAAAACACTACAACCGTTTCACGGATGGAGGGTGGATGGTTCTCAAAATGTAGCTTTCTCATTAGATCCGCGCGCACTTGGGAAGGCCACTCGGGCGACTGCGGGCCAGGAGGGCGCGTGGGTGGGAGAGCCAGCCCTGGAGGTTGGGGAAACCACAATGTACTGATACTGCTACTCCCTGGTCCTCTTCTGGGGCGCGTTCCCACCAGGATTTCGAAGCGAGTCCAGCGGCGGCGGCGAAGGCCTCCCAGGAGGCCCAAAAAGGCGAAAACGAGGCGAGGGGCAGCGGACTAAGCACCTCTTCCTCTCCCAAAAGGTCGGTCGGACTGCCAAGGGATGTGCCTCGGCCAGGTGGTGCAAGACGGCCGCTGGCAGCGAAGGTAACGGTCGCACTGAGTTCGGTCTGGTTCAGTCAGGCGCGGGGCGACGCCGTGGACCAGGCGGGGGCCGTTTTGGGCTCCAGCCTGGGGCAGGAGGCCGGGGTCAGCGGGATCGAGAAAACCGAGCTTTGGAGGAATCGTGCTCGCACGCCTGCGCAGGTTGCCCTGAGAGAAAAGAACAGTGCTTCGAGCTCCCTGAGGGGCCCCTACGTGATTTCTTTCAGATTCGCAGTCGTGCTGCGTTATCCACGTAAGTTATGATGTGCATTCGAAGGGGGGGTGCGTTGTCTTCGCGTTTGCTCTTCCATTGCCGCCCCTCCCCATGCATTGGTCTAGTCTGTTCTGTTCTGGTCCGCCATTCATCTGAGCATCCCGCCTCCTAGCAATGTCTTCATCTTCGCTTCTCTTCAATTATATGTCCGTATAATTTCCGTATATTTCAACATACTCTCTCCTTATCTTCTCGTCATCACCACTTAATTGATTGTCTGTTGCTTCAATTTCTCCACATCGTCTTCATCCTCCTTATTCACCTGGCCTCCTCTCAAGTTCCGAAGCTTTATTCACGTGGTTGCCTCGTGCACCACCACAATATACAGTTTTTTCTTCTCTGTTCACTCGCACGCCAACTGCGATAATACATTCGCGAAGTGCTCCCGCAGACAATCCACTCAACGTCATAGCCACACGCCCCTGCCTCCACTGTGCGTGAGTGAGGCGCAAGCTAATTCCGTTGTTGCTGCCTGCTGCTTACCCACTGTCGCCTGAATGAGGACGCTGTCAGGGCGGACTGGGTTTATCCGGGGGAAGGGGGGGGGGGGGAGGGAGCATTTACTCGTTTACCCATTGATAGGCGATTGGAAACCCGACCATGGCACTCCCGAGCAGTAGTGCATGTTTTCAGCGGCCCTCGACTCACCCCATCCAGCGCCTTTACATCATGTCTCGACTATAGTATGAGAGCTCTGGCAACTTCAGTGCCATTTCGACTCCCAGCAATATCGCTTCCATTCCTGAGCGAGTTCCCGCACAAACAACGTGTTCCAATTATCCCACGATCGTGTCAGTTTCAGAAGCCGGGGGAAAGTGCATCCCAACATCAAAATCGCCCATTCAGAAAACATGAGTTTAATATACACGCGAGTCGTTTGTAATTGCGTTCACATCTAGCTGTGCTCGTGCGTGCTCGCTCCCATCCGTGCTTTGGCATGGAGGAGTAGCAGGCTCCAGATCCCTTCCATCGTCAACTGCCTCATCAGAATCGTCTTCGCCGCAACCAGCATAAAAAAACATCTGGTTGAACATGCCAACAACATTTTTCCTCACATCGTCATGGGCAACTCATATCCTGTTCCAACTTATCGTTCATCCGTCGTTGCCGCGTGACTTTCGCCGTACCCGCAAGCATTGTCATGGCGATCGCGCTTGGCGTCATACCTGTTGTCATCGCCATCTTTGCCATCGCAAGTGGCATGGAATTGCTTTGCATTTTCCCAAAACCCCTCCATGAAAAAACGCCCCTGGCAGAAAAGGGGGATCTGGAGTATCAAGGCACCAGAAAAATACGACGTCTGGTTTCTCAGGGGGAGCTCCGGAGGAGGAATAAGGACTAAGCTCCTCTTCGTCGCTCCTCACTCCTGAATCCTCCTCCTCCTCCTCCTCCTCCTCCTCCTCATCCTCGCACGTAGCCTCGGACAGATGTCCACATTTCGCATACTTTTCGCCAAACTGCTATAGTAATTGTGACCTCACCGCCTTCGCAGAAAGAAGAAGAGAGGCAGCACGGCTCGGTTTTCGGGTGCTGTGAATATATAGAACGCGATCACCATCCTCTGAATTGCTAGGATCCTCCTTCACCAAACAGCTGTGAGGCCAGGGCAGGGCGACGATCTAAAAATTGCTGGGTCCGTTGAGCAAGGGCCCAATATACCGGATCGCGCTCCAAAGAGGCTCACAGCGCTGGTAGCGCGACTGAATATCAAGGCGTCCCTCGCAACCGAACTTACAAGGGAGATTCTGCTGAATCATCCTTTCTTCCGTCGTCCAGGCCCTCACCAGAGTCTTGACCATGAAGATCTGCCAAGAACGGAGCGTACTGGACAAAACGTCACGCAGCCTGGGCCAACATTGGGTCACCAACTTGCGGGCATGCTGGGGCGACGGGGGGCGCGCCCTTCCCCTCCTCCGTATGTTTGCTGCATCCTCCTTTCCCCCCCGTCCTACTTCTGCTTCCGCTGCTGCTGCTCCTCCTCCTCCTCCTCCTCCTCGTCCTCCTCCTCCCTCCTCTCCCTGCTCCTGACCGTACTCCCCTTCATGATTCGCCCTTTCCTCCTCCTCCTCGCCTTCCGTCATCCCTCCTGCTCCCTCGTCCCCCCTTCTTCCTCCTCCTCCTCCTCCTCCTCCTCTTCCTCCTCTTCCTCCTCCTGCTCGTCATCCTCCTCGTCCTCGTCGTCGTCCTCGTCGTCCTGGTCGTCCTCGTCGTCGTCGTCGTCCTCCTCCTCCTCCTCCTCCTCCTCCTCCCTTCCCCCCCATTTCTTGCACCCCTCCGTGGAGGAGGGCAGGGAGGAGGAGGAGGAGGAGGAGGAGGAGGAGGGGGAGGAGGAGGAGTGACAGGCGGGGTGGGGGTGGTGGGAATGGGGGCAATGGGGCAGTCGAACAGTGGAGTTCGTAGTGTTCATATTTTCCCTGTTTTCTAGAATCGATGCGTAACCTCCCAAAAGAGGAGGGTAACGAGGAGGCAGGACGAGAAGGCAGACGAAGCGGAGGAGGAAGGGAAACAACATGATGATGAGGATGGAGAAATGTGGACGCGAAACTACTTTGGAACCACCTTTCCAAAACATGGGGAAAGGGGCTTCCTTTGACATTTGCCCAAGACGGTGGTCCACGGGAGTCCCATGCCAATGACCTCGATGACAGCAAACATTAACCCACCCTACCCCATTGTGCAACTTGCAATTGCTCGGACGTCCAGGTTTTCTGGTGCAGGCCTCGCCGAGATGCAAAGGCAAGCGCAAATTGAGGGGGCCGCCATCCCGCCGCAAGCATCCCGTCGCAGACCTTGGCTGAGGAGCGCTCTGGCGGGACCACGAAACGTCCATTGCACCAGAAAGCTGACTCAACCCTCTCCCCATCATCCAGAGTGGGCGGGCTCGGCGAAGCGGCCAGGGGGAAGGCACTGGGGGAGGGCCTTCTCAGAAGGCTCCGACCGCCCCTGGCCTTCTGAGAAACTCATCAAACCTTCGCCAGATCCGCGGATGGCTCCTCAGGAGGGAGGAGGAGGAGGAGGAGGAGGAGGAGGAGAGGAAGAGGAGGAGGAGGAGGAGGGAGGAGGAGGAGGAGGAGGAGGAGGAGGAGGAGGAGGAGGAGGATGGAGGAGGAGGAGGAGGAGGGAGGAGGAGGAGGACGAGAAGGAGGAGGAGGAGGAGGAGGAGGAGACGGAGGAGGAGGCGGCGAAGGAGGAGGAGGAGAAGGAGGAGGAGGAGGAGGAGGAGGAGGGGGAGAGGAGGGAGGGAGGAGAGGAGGAGGAGGAGGAGGAGGAGGAGGAGGAGGAGGACGAGGAGGAGGAGGAGGAGGAGGAGGAGGAGGACGAGGAGGAGGAGGAGGAGGAGGAGGAGGAGGAGGAGGAGGATGCCTGACGCAGTCTCCCACCAATCATCCATAGTGCGTCCATCCGTCTGCTCGCCCGCCCGCTCGCCGCGCAAAATAAGAATCGACAAGTCGGATCGGCGATCGAAATGAACCGGATCGGCGGAAATCGGCGGCCGAGTCGGGAGGAGTCGAATCGGCGGACATCGGCAGGCCAGCCGGCCAGCAGGCCTCCATGGAGAAATAGAAATCCAAATCGGCATCCGAAGCCGTATCGATTCGGAATCGGAAGACGTCGAAGTCGAATCGCATCGGAACCGGAAGCCATCGACACCGGATCGAATCGGAGCGGGGGAGTCGAAAGGAGCCCGCCGCCCTGCACCGGATGCCCCTCCGAGGGCCCGGATCCTCCGTTGATGCGCCCCCTGCCGTTCGCCTGCCAGTC